CCCACTGAACCACAGTCACCCCCGACATGTTGTCTTGTTATACATATCTTCTAAATAAATCAAAAAATTGTATGCCCTCAATCGCGTCAGTTTTTTCCCCACAGTATTGAAAATACATTATGTATATATTTTTCAAAGTATTGTATCAAAGTTAGAAATTCCAGTATCAATGTTAAATTAGAATAAGAAGTAACTTCACAGCTCCTAATATGCATTTAAAACAAATTCATTTGTTAATTCACAATTACTGTACAGAGGAGAGAGACAAAAGGATATCGCAGCAAAGACAAACAAAGAGAGTGTAAATAAGGTGCAAATAATTCAAGATTTAGGATGAAGAAGAAACAAAGAATCTGATTCAGAAGCAGCACAGGAGTCTGGTGACGCCAAGACACAGGCTACAAACTGAGAGGCCAGAAAACTGTTCAGGTCTAGTTTATTGATATTTTAATTTAAGTCCTATCTAGTTCAAAACACAAGATTAGAACCAGCTATTAAAAATCTGACACATGTAGTAACACAGGGACTAATTGCCATAGACCGTTACAATGGTGATAGGTCGTCACCAGAGAGTTGGCGTCCTTGACATCAGCATTTAACATGGCACATTACATTATCGTTAAAGCTAGCTAACGTTAACTGGAAACACAGTAGTGAAATATGTAATCAATGTTAGTATTATGTCTGGTAAGTCAGAGCGTGAACGTGAACTTCCAAACTTGTTCCCATGACGCACAGAGCAGTGTTTTGTTTTTAGCCTTATGTTAAGCTCGTTGACAAATGCGATACAACGTTAGCGGTTAGCTGTGTGCTAACTAGCAGTAACCGATATGTTTTTGGTTTGTCTTAAGTTGTTATTGTTGATGTGACATGCCTAGTTATCGAGTCCAGTGCTCAGACAATTGTTTCGTATCACACTTTATCGTTTAAAGCAACGATAACGTTAACTCTAGATAGCTATCATGCTAACCATTAGCATTAATGTTAGGATAACCATGTCAGAGAGGTGCTACTTGTTTAGAGGGTGGTCCTAGCAAAAAAAAATGTGTCAGTGTTACTCACATTTGTTGATGCACAAACGACAGTCACTCCAAACTGATAATGTCACAGGCTTTTCAGAGTATGTCTTCGCCTCTTGTATCTGCAGACAGCAGTTCCGTGTTCACCAACAACCGTGGAGACAGCGAGGTGGGGCAACATGTCCTCACCCCGCCCCGTGCACTTTTGATAGGGCGCCCCCCGCCTCCACTGCTGAAGATATGGTCACTGTGTAGCACCAAATCAAATGTCCTGGCACTTTTATGCCATCAACTAACTGCATAGAATCATCCTATTCAGCGGTCTCTCGCCATAAATGACAGGTGTGTACTATAAAGGCCTTACACTGGTACCTACCAAAATGAAGTAAATAACATTTAGGTACTCAGAAAGAGAACATTGCTCGGTAAAAGCAAATTAATCGCGATCAATCCAATTTGGTATTGTTAACTTTGACCTTAAGTAAGGGTAAAAAAAAAAGAACCCCCATAGAATGGTATAGTAGGCATTATCAATTTTTAGCCTAGACATCAAATATGATAAGTAATATGGTTTAAACAAATAAAATGAATGAATACATTGTTCTAAAATATACACACATTAAAAGCAGCTAGGTCTCATTTAAAAGATTAAATCAGCCTCTGTTGTCAGTCATGTCTTGACAATGTTCCACCATAAACATGTATCAAAACTAAATGACCTGCCTCTTCACAGTGTGCAAGTTGTAATTGGTGCCTTCAATACACATTTGCTGGACTGAATGCATAATGAGAAAGGAAAAGCTGGGGAGCTGCTGAGCTGGTGGAAGATGTGGCTGCAGCTTGGTTGGACTTCAAATACAATACAAATATACACATGTCAGAGCTTGATGTGGCCATGCATGACCAAAGTGAATTAATAAAATATAAACAGAATACAGCAACCACCAATTAAGCCCTTTAAGGAATATAAGAGTAGTTTACCTCCACATTTAGACATCAACACAATGTAATCAGTTTGTACATTTATGTTTCTTATATCACTTATGTTATCTCATATTCCTCCACTTACAAAGCAGCAAAACACAATTGGTTTTTGTAAAGGTCAAACCAACGCTGATAGATCTCTAGCCTAATAATTTTTCATTAAGCTGATTAAAAAAACATTTTGAGTCTCCTCAGTTGCCAGAGTGCAGCTGTATTCTCATTGGTCAGGCCAAACCTGATCAAAATTACTCATTAGCTCATTTGGCTTATTGAAGTGACTGGACACACCTTTATACACAAAGAAATCTTGCTAACACATGAATGTGAACAGACTGGTAAAGTCAGGAGGAGCCATATTGGAAGCAACCACTGTGCTTTCTTTGCTCTCGGTGGGACTTATTGTCTGTGTGTGTCATACTGCACACTGTTTAGCATGCTGTTTGTAACAACACATACTTTTTAATGTGATCCCATTTTGGCAGTTTTACGCCTCTCAAGCTACGGGACAAATCTGCATTACTCTTCTGTAATAGATCATCAGAATATAGTGACACTTTGTTAGGTGTGATGCACAAAGATTTAATGTTTTAATGTCTTTATTAAATCTTACGCCAAATGTTTCTCCTTTAAATATGTATAAGGACAATATAATGTAATGCATTAGGAAGACTGTTGTAAGAGGTGAGGCCAGATTCTGAGCATTCGGTCAACATGTTGCTTGATCAATATACTGAAACTGATACAGTCATGCAGCCACAGGTACTGCACATTTATTATTGTATCAATTTCAGTATATTGATCAAGCAACATGTTGACCGAATGCTCAGTGCCTTACTTCTAATAAAATGTAAATGAGTCACAGGTACTGTACATTATTATATAAGTAAGGCCTTAAGGCTCAACTAACAGACACACTGTATACAGTACATAAAAACCTTAAAAGTAACATCTTTCTCTTACTCAAGTTTTCACTTTCCAACTCTAGAATTTCCCATTAGTCTGACTTACTTAAGCCTGATGGTTAAGCATGTGGAGCAGCTGTTTACCTTGCAGCTGTCACGTTGCAGTGTCACAGCAATCAATACAACAGCAGTGTATTCTGATTAAAGCCATCCTGGTATTGTGGCAGTGCAAAGGTGAACAGAGTGTAGAGGATGGGACTGAGGACACGTCCCTGTGGGGTGCCAGTGTTTGTAGTGAAATATGACAGAGTTGAATTGAGTGTTGGCCTTGCAATAACAACAGCTGTTTTTGTGCACCCAAGAGTGCTAGCTGAGGTGCTTTGTAGTATGATGAAACTTGATCCACAAGCAGACCTCTTTGTGAAAAAACCTGCAGAAAAAAAATGCAAGGTCCAGTTTAATCTGTAACATTAGAGTTTGTGAACCTTCATGTGTCAGACTAAGCAAGCAAAGAAAGGCAGTAAACACTGTCTAGTTGGGTCTGCGTTTACATTACAGTATGTAGTACCTGACTGGTGGTGTGATGCAATAGAAGTTACACACCCAAACGTGTTTCCGTTGGGCATAACCTTTCTCATGGATTCACTGGAGAGGCTTTTAGTGCTGCAAGGAGATATTTAAGTCATGCACAGACATGCACAAAAGAATGTATACACACCTCCTTTTGTACCATGTATAATACATCTCTGACCCTGACATACGGGTGAAGGGAACTTCTAAAAGTCATTTCTGATTAGTGTCCACAGAAATTTGAATTGCATACATTTTAATTTTGTCTGAACTTGTCATGGTTTTTTGAATCCCTGAATTCAGAACACTAATGCATTTGAAATTGGAATTTAAAAGGCCCAATATAATAAGTGTCCATCCAAACTGAACACTGGAATATAATTTGGAATCCTTTTTGTCTTTTAATCTGGAATGATCTATTTATGGACTCAACAGCATTTAAGAGCAGTGTTGCCATTATGACTTGTTATCTTGTGTGTGCACTTTTACTATCTATGCTTATGTTGAGAACTTGCTGATTTAATTTTTTATATATTAATAGCATATAGATTTTCTGTGCCCTTTTGTGTAATTTCTTTCATTTTAATACCTCTACAAAAAGTTTTTTTTAATCCTCTTAAATATACCCATGAACAGTATAGTATGGTGAGCAGATAATGACTCCATAACTGTTACAGCTGCTGTAATCATTCTGAATATATCTCACACTGGGATCCAACAAACTCAGATGATGTGGTTGGACAATGCATTGTATGTATATAAGTGTTGGTAAAAGTACTGGTCATTTAGCTTTGTTTAACTTCTGTTTATGAACTGATTATATAGATTTTTCACTTTACCCCTTCTTTTGTTTACATTGCTGACACACCGTGTGCAAAAGCATACTGTCATGGTACAGTTCTGTGGTACTGTAAAGCCAATACTTGGTACTATTTGGCACCATACAAAGGTTTGCTTTGTGAATTGATACAGCCTTGATGCCTTGAGCAGGTCCTTGTCTATGGCTGAAGATTTGCATTTAAATTGCATCTCCCAAACAGACGTGCTGTACCTGAAGAAGTACAGAGGGGACTGAGATGAGTTCAGGAGCAATTTCAAATGATCATTATTCCTTACTAACAGAAGAAAAGCATGCTCAATATCAGAACCAAATCTCTGTTTGCTTTTCATCTTTTTTATCTACTTATTCTCTAAAGTTGATATGATATGAAGCAGCATTCCCATATGAATTACTACGGTGAACATTACAAAATGTCTTGCACAATAATAAGTCAAGAGTTACTGTATGTTATCTAGTTTCACCCTTGACCAATGCAGGTGTGGCAGATGTTGTTATATGACAGGATTAGTCAAAGATCAAGGAGAACAGGCAACATTCCACTAATGGGAGTTTCCTTGCCAGTCATTGACCAAACAGAGCCATTACCTCTATTCCTACATTTGCAGTGGTTGAGTGATTGTAGAGAAAACAATATATGTCATACTTGACTGCCTGCCCTTGCCATTTAGGGACAGCATTTTGCTTGTAGATTAGTCTTTGCTGTTTAAAGAAAAATAAAGAAATTAGTTCACTTAGCTTTTACCCTGGCTTTCTGAGTTGGGTTAAAGATCCAAGAGAGACAGGTTTACTGTGTCTGCCTCTGGGAATATTTGAAGTGAAAGCCAGTAATCATTGGCCAAGTGGGCATATACTTTCCTTATAGCTACAGAGAGGGATGGTCATTATGTTTTAGCAATACTGGCAATTATAGCAGGCTTCGGGAAGCATATGTCTTACTGCCAAGGATTTTAAATTGATTTTTTAAATAAACTGGTCCTTTTTCACATTTGCATATAATCACCTTCTAGCAAGTCATCTTTGATAATCTAACAATCTTCTTGCAGGCGCAATAAGTGAAACGCAGGCTGATTTTATGTTTGATATTTTACATTACTAAAGTGTGGCACCAGTCTTTGCACACTGGTCCCACACTGGGCATGTGTATGAAGCCGTAGTCCAGCCCCGCAACCCGCCCACCACCCTCCCTCTGCCGTGGTGCGTCTCGGTCTGCCCGCAGCAGTCTCCTTCCCCGGCGAGGTTTCACTACAGAGATGGCTACGAAAGTGTGCAGATCAGTACTCCTGTTGTCCCGGAGCAGCCGAGCGGTGGCCGGCAGCCTGCCCGCACTTGTCTCTTCACAGCGACATCATCAGCACATAAGACCGGTGAGTTCCAGGACGTTAGTGCGCACAGAGAGAGGTGTAGGAGTGGGCAGACAGGCTGGACCCGGAGAGAAAGCAGCGGCTGGGCTGGCTAAGGAAGTAAAGCTAACTAGCCTTAAGATTTTCCGTTCTTGTCGGTTCTTCAGATTGGGCTTTAAGAGAACCTGAGGCAGGGGATGAGTCATGAGATATACCCCAGCCGGTGTGTTTTAATCCACAGTGGGACGTAACGTTAGGTCTTTGACAGAGGCAATGCAGTTTTTCTGAAGCGCTTGCTGAAGCCCATCAACACCCCACTGGCGCTGCCCCGCCGTTTACTGTAACTAGCCTTCAGGCACTCCGCTTCCACGTAATGCCTCACATCTCACGTTTCCTTTTGTGTCCATCAACTTTGCATGCATATATTTTCTCAGCCATTGTTCTTCTGATTGCTTTGTGTGAATTTCAACGCGATCCCGTTGAATATGTTGAATAATTTCTGCAGTAGAAGACCGGGTTGGTTTCCTACGCTCGGGGATAGGGCTCCTATTTTATGATGTTGCAAGGAGGATGTTCAGTGTGAGCAGCTTTTGGGCTGCAGTTTCAGCAGGGTCTGGTTTACAGTCCGTTGCCTACACGATGCCTGAACTGCAGCGTCTGTGTGTAGTGTTGCAGAAGCAGAAACTCACATTAATGAATGTCTGCCCAGAGTTGAAGAAGAAAACTACAGTTGTGTGTGTGTGTGTGTGTGTGTGTGTGTGTGAGAGAGACCGATTGAAAGAGATATGGTCAGTGTTTATACACACAGACAGCAGGCATTTATCTACAAACTTGATACGTGTACTTCACAGAAACATTGAAACCCGCACTCAGATGATGTCAGACTCTCCAGCCTGCTGTTGCTCCCCTCCCTGCGGGTGTTTCCCCATTCATGGGAGATCCTGGGTTTTCCTGCAAGCTGATTCAGGTCTTTTATATGCCCACTGTAGCAAAGAATGTAGTTTCAAAAATCCTCAGAATAACAGGAGGGTAATTATGTTTACAAAACCCTCACTCTAGTGCTATAGTTGTACATCCCGTTCCTGCCTCTGTGACATGCTCCCTCGGCTGAAACACTGAGCCTGTACAGCTGCTGCTGCCTGAGGAGGGAAGTGAAGCACAGTATGGACCTGAATACGAAAGAATGAGGAAGTCATTGCAGCTCAGGATAGTAAAGCTCCCTCACTGTAGTTAGTAACACTGCTGTCTTTTTCTTTTGCCACACGGGGCACCTTGTTTCTGTCTTTCTCTTACTTTCACTTTATATGGTGATTTTCTTTATTTCTCATGGTTTTCCTTTCATACCGGTCCCTTATACAATACCACGGGCACTGTGAAATTAACGAGGCTCTCCTTAGTGTGACACAGGTCAGCCTGGAGGCTAAGTAGCTGTCAGGATAGGCACCCTTGGTCCATATCTCCACACCGGCCCCTGTTGCCCACTGTGACTATTACAACAGAACACATTTACCCTTGAGGAGAAGTAATATTCCCCCCTCTTCTAAATTAAAGAGGCCTATTTAAACGGTCAGTGATGTATCGGAGTGAGTTGCAGGTCACTGTTCTTGGCAGAGTTGGTCCTAATAAGTTTTCATCTTGTTTTCACCTGCTCAGGTTTTAGTTTTGTTTGCCTTTGTCGTATTGTGCCTTTGTACTTGGAAGTGTTGCTGCTGGGGCTCCTAATGCAGGCCTGTCACTGTATGACAGCAAGGCCTCTGTGTTCATTATGAGCTCCACTGCAAAGTGGGAACTCTCAGTTTCTAGATTTGTTTTGTGTCTGTAGAGCTGCGGTAGGACACATACTTATAAGCTTCTGTTTAACATATAGTGCCAGTTAACGGGACGTGTTCCACAAAACTCATGTATGTGCTGTCTAGAGACCATTTTCAAGCAGTGAGCGGATTGCTGCATCTGTAATGTGGTGCAATTGTTAGGTTATTTCTTAGTTAGATAGATATGGATTAGAGATCTGTTGTCTATGAATGTTTAGTGCAGACAGGGTGACTAGCTTGGGCTGTTAACTATTCAGCCTGCAGTCCAGACTGCAGGCACGTCAAGGTTACAGGAAAACTGCTGTTAGTGTCAACTGTAATGCTAGTCTTAATATTTGTCTTAATGTGTAAGGTTATGTCCAATTGTTTTAGGCCAAAGCAGCCCGGAAACCCAAAAGACCCCGAACCAAGCATTGCTATACAATATTAATCCTTTCTGGGCTGTCGAACCGTGACGTCACCCGATAAGCAAGCCTTGCAGCTGCTATAACGTTTAGCCAAAACATGAGGCAAAGTCAAGGTGCGTGACTGTTGTTTTCGTGGTGTGTATCTAAAACAATTGGACATAACCTTACACATTAAGACAAATATTAAGACTAGCATTACAGTTGACACTAACAGCAGTTTTCCTGTAACCTTGACGTGCCTGCAGTCTGGACTGCAGGCTGAATAGTTAACAGCCCAAGCTAGTCACCCTGTCTGCACTAAACATTCATAGACAACAGATCTCTAATCCATATCTATCTAACTAAGAAATAACCTAACAATGTCGTGATGGGTCAAATTCCTGGGGACACCAATCAGACGCTAGGTTCCAGAGGCTCACGTTTAACTCGCATGTGATTACTATTGAGTCAGCTGTTGTATAAAATGCTGCTGTCTTGAAGTGTAGCAGGGGAGTTGAGTCATTGTGAATTAACAATTTGTAAAAAGGGTTACACATCTCAGACTGAAGTGGTGTTCAGCATGCGGATTTTTCCATATGGTTTTAACCAGGGTTTCGTGATGTGCTTGGGTGGAAAAAAGAACTCAAATGATACACTATTAATTTCTCTATAAGCCAACATGTTTGGCAAAGCTGAGCAGTTGTTGCCTGTAGTCTTTGAGGACAGGGGGCCGAGGCCTGCTCTTGGCTCTTAATCCAATCATTGTAAAAGTAAGATAATTTACCCTTCCTGCTTTCACGGGTTCACTGCAGAAGTTGTCTGGATTAGAGTGATAAGAGAGTGACTGACTGGTTGTGGCTGGTGATAAGATGGTTGACTGATTGATAAAGCTGTCCACAGTGGCAGTTTCATTAAGTGATCCTGCCCTTCATGGTTAAACTAGTTTGACTTAATTAATGGCCTCACATTTGACTGATAGTGGAGATAGACCTGTTGTACAGAGCACAAAGTATTGAGACATGAAATGATAAATGGAAGGTCTTTTTAGGCACCATTCATGTGGTTTAGGTTGATTAATCTCATTCTTCACTTTGAAATTGACTGACAGGTGTGCGACTCTCTCCTGTATGTAAAATAACTCATGGCATTTTCAGTGCTAAAGCCCAATTGGCAGTTTATGACATTAGAGGTTTATGATGATGACTCGCACGTCTCTTCTCAGATCTTATCACATCATGCCTGCTGCTTCTGCTGGAGGGGATTCTCCTTAATGTTGGGTCAGCACAGCTATACTGTTCCATCTTTTCATTGATATTGGATTACTATCTGTACATGGAGGCAATTTTAATGGGCATTAAGTGCAATTTAGAGGGTTTTCTTTAGTGGGTGAGAAAATTGATTTGTGTTCTCCTGTGGGGTTTCATATAGTCTTGCTAAGCTATATGAGGTGAGGTGATACAATAGAATTTCAGACAGACAAAAATGATGGACTGGATACTCCATTCAGTCCACATACCATGCCAGGTTCCCATTACTAGTCTTTACATGTTTACATTTTCCACATTAGCATACAGTGTCAACTGGCTGTGGTACAGTGAAAGTAGACCAGACTAGCTACAGTACATGAATAAACTGCTTTATGAAGTGGTTTTAGCTTCATATTAAAGACACAAGGCATATAGATAAGGCAACATGGGGAAAGATCACACACAAAAGCTGATCCATTCATAAACATTACAGTGTAGCTCAGCTGTTAGCCAGAGTCGTATCTATTTTTACTAAACAGTTGAACAGCTGAGTACAGTTTGCTACTGCCTGTTTGAACAGGGCACAGAGGAAGGACAGCCAGCCTTGCATTGCCATGCAGGAATGACGTCACTCTTCTTCAGTGGCAAACTGTCTTATTAGTTCGACCAGTGTCTAGACATCGAACTGCTCTGCTGGAGGACTTCTGTGCCCAGTGGAGTTCCTCACGAACTGTGACCCCATATATGTTTGTGTTGTTTGTATTGGGAATGGTGTACCAGAAATGAGGCCATGTTGTTTCGGCGTTACGACCTTTGTTTTGTTAGGGAAGCGTTCTGTCCTTTTAGCATCACTGTTTACTCTGATTTATTTGTGTATAGGTTGGGCATCAGTGTAAAGGTGAATGTGAAAGGTGGTTTCAGGTAAACATCAAATAAACAACTTTAAAATTACAGAGGTCATAGTTTAAGGTGGTGTTGGGATTTCTTTTTTTGTCATCCATATTTATATACATGAGAGAGGGGCAGAATATTAGAATCATCCCTGATTATAACTCAGTCTAGTACAACTCGTTGACTAACTATGGCCTCAGTGCTAAAACAAATAATTGAATGAACACCTCTATGACAGAGCAAAAAACAAAACACCAACTGAACATTATAAGCATCATAACAGCAGACTATAGCAGAACAGTTATATTGGATTGATTGTACAAGCATACATAACAATGTGGCCGCTGCGTGTAGACTTGCTCAGCGTCATTATCAAAACAAGTTTATCCAGTATAATTAGCCAGTGCTTTGGAAACATAGATGAACCTCATCCAAGCTCCCACTTCAACATTTTATTTTGTTGGGACATCTAATATCTTGGCATTAAAACACTGCACTTAATGATGGATTTAGCACATTATAAAATGCTGTTTATTTCCCTGTGATCTGTTCGTCCATTTAGTATTTGATTGAAACAAAACTGTTTTATTTTAGATTTTTTTATTTTTTTTGGCTGGTACATTAAGCGTGCATTTGTGTTCTTCCTTCTTTTCAACCCCTATTTAAATAGTCACGATATCATGTGAGTA